TTTTAGTACAACAACTTCTTCTGCTAAATTCCCCAATTCACCCAGTTTCGTTTCTTTCAAAAACGAGTACTATGTGCACAGTTGGTGCCTTTAAGTAAACGCAAACAAAATTATGGATGCAAAAATGAGACTGCCCATACCTGACTAACAATTATACCTTGGGTTACGCTCACAGCAGAGAGCGGGTGAGAAAGAGAGGATTCTCTCGAGAGCGAACGAGAATTAAACATTTATTAACTCACCTTGCAAGCGGATTACAAGCAACATGAGGTAACATTGTGCCTCGGCGGGCACTTCGGCTCTGGTTCGGCTCTCGCGAGAAGTTGCGAGCCGAATGAGCGGGAAACGTTGCGTTTTTGAAAATGGGAAAAGGCAATGTGGTCAATGAGAGAGAAATTAAATACTTAAATCAAAGATCATTCAGTCTTTGACTAAGCAGCGACGTTGTCGCAACCAAGTGATCGAGGAGCGTGGAGATCGGTTTCGGTTTCGGTTTCGGTTTCGAGATCTGGCTCGGTATCGGCCCAGCGAAGGAATCGGTTCGGTTCAGTTCGGTTCTGTTACAATTTGTATTATAATCGTAATGTTTTCTAAGATCGCTGCTGGCGCATTAATTCCATGCAACGGATACGAATGCGGTTTTCGATTATAAGCCATCATCACCAACAATAGTAACTGCGTGAACGACCGAGTGTAAGTGCGAAAGTGCGATGTCTGAATGGTGATTAGGATTTTCTATTGTTTTCGTGAGGCCAGAGATTGCGATTGGAGGTGGGGCAGAGGAGTCTGGCATCGAATGCCAACAAGAGCTTTAAATAACTGCAACACTCAAACAATGTGCATTATACATGTATGTAATATATGTATGTAGTATATATATCAAATAGCAGAGCCATGAAGAAAATAAAAATAATTTAAAAGTGCTGAATTGAATATTCAAGTGATAATCCCATCCATTAGTCATACAATGAAATTGAAAATGCCAGAGGCTACAAGTCGTCTGGTCTAGCCTGCAAGGAAATCTAATTTATTGGATTTAAAACTGTAACCCTTTTAACTGGTGAGTAAATTGTAATGATTTTGCTTTGAAAAAGGGGCTTCCTTTGCAAAAGGACTTCAAACGTGGGACACTCGGGACTTGCTTGGGTAGTTGTGGTGAACACTACATAGTTATTATGCAGTGACTAAATCTAAGCCAAGCTTTTAATTTATTGAGGCTGCTTATATATGTTGAAAGATTTCAAACCAACTCATCAATCATTTCATCAATGTCACTCCATTTTGTTCACCAGACTTCAATATATTTTCACCAACTCAATCTATTGAAAGAAAAAACAAAGTCCCACAGGTTCCATGAAAACCAATGTCACTTTCCCCACATAACCATTTATCGGTAGCGAATTCACTCAATATTTTACAGCCTGACTTTACAGCAGCAACAACACAACTCGTTCATCATAAAATGCAATTCAAAATCACAAAAATGAATCGAGCTTTAAAAAAACACACACTCATTTCTGTGTACATGCGTATTTACGTATTTACGTATTTAGTGCGAGTATCTTGGAAAATAAATATATCGTGTTGTGCTTACTTCGGCAAACAAACGCATTAAATTGTAATTAGCCTCCCAACTGCGCTCCAGGCCAGTGCAGTCCAGTCGAGCTCAGCTCTGCTCACGGCTGCCGCTGCTTGTCCGTGTGCTCGAGTCATTTTTATTTATTTAATACTATTTTTTCATTATTATTTCATATTTACCGGCAAGCACGAGTGATTTCAGGTGTAACACAATAAGATTAAATATTAATAATCATTTTTTTATGATTTCTTTTGTTATCGTTTATGCGAGAGGACCTCAAGTTCATTATCATCGTTAAAAAAAAACAGCGCACCAGTTGGGGCTCTGGCAGGCAGCATTTTTCATTTGCTCGATGTATTGATACATATATTTAATTGTACGTGTATTAAATTGCTCTCAAAGTGAATGTCAATCGATTACGATTTTGTAATTATTTTTGTCATTTTTCTTAGTATTTTCTTTGTTATATTTCGGCAGTCCCGTCCCGTCCCAAATCGCGAATTTAACGTGCACTGACCGAGAGATTATTTGGGGTCGGTACGGTGTCGATGATGATACATTTTCCTTGGGTTTGGGCGTGCGCGCGCGTGATTCTGAGTGTGATGTTTATGGGATTTAATACAAGAGTAAACTATGTGAAACCATAGCTGCGAAAATTCTTGCAGCTCACAATTGTATTAGAAATGTTGTATACAAGCAATACTTATTTTAAACATATTTAAGATAATTTACTTTTAACAGTAACTTTGGTTTTTTTGGTTTTTTAGATTTAGTTTAACTATTTGCAACTATAACTTAAATTTAAATTTTGTCCAGAAATCGGTTATTCTTTTCCAGTCCCAAGTCTTTCGACCACTGCATCATGTCGCGCGCGACTTTTTGCGCTATTTTGTGCAATTATCTTTCCTTATTTTATTTGATCTGCTGTTAAATAAAGCCCACACGAGCGGCCAGCGATTGTTCTGCATTCTTCGTCATGTTCTGCGATCGGGTTTCACCTTCCTCTTTCGATTAAATTTCGATTGACTTTGAGAAAAAATCAAGTCAGCAAAAATGAATCCAGAGCGACCGGCCGAATCAATTTCTTCTGTGGCGTCAGGCAGTCCACATGCAAAAGGGGAAGCAGTACGAGTTGAGGAAGAATCAGAAAGAGTTAACATAGTTAAGTGTAAGTGTAAGTTCGATTGCTCACGTTGCCAACGACAGGCCGAAAAATGTGACACAAAAAAAGCTTAAATCATTTATATGTACGTATACGTATACTTATACTTTTTTTGTGTTTTGCTAAATAAACAAGTTTGTTTTTTATCAAATATACATACAACTAGATATAGCCACTGATTCTTGGCTCGTTATTTATTCGCAGCTATTTTTATTGGCACATTTTTCACATTTATGCAAATTGAACCGAAAGAAGAGCAAATGTTCGGGCTCGAAACGCTGCGCAGTTACAGAACAAAACAGAACAGAACGCCCGAGCTCAGCTCAACGCTCCACGATATCAGCAGATTATGTCACTTACACCCATACACCTACTCGTAAGTGTGTACCAGTATATATAGATTGCACAAGCCATGTCTCTGAGGTTTCGATACGATATCGGGGCGATGGCGATCAATGTCTTCATGGTCACGGCCACGATCGGCAAACGGCCAACTACGCCAACAATTTGCTTCCTCCCCCCCTCTACCAAAAGACGCTATAGAAAGAGTGAGCAATAGATAAATATACATATGTATATATATATATAAATATATGTATATATATAGACAGAGAGAAAGAGAAGAGAGTGTGAGCAGGGGAACATAGAGAGTGAGAGGTAAGGCATTATCTCGACCTGACTTTGTCTTTAACCAGGTTCAATGTACGCCCCACGTCGCTACGTGCCATCGTGGACCAAGCGACAATGTCCGAGTAAGCCTGGCAAATAGAAATAGAGAAATTTTCTCATTAGATTTTTGCTGTTGCCCCTCTTCTTATGTGTTTCCTCCACAAAGCCTGGTCTCAGAAGCCGCCCGGCCTGACCATGACCAAACTTGCTTGCCGTCCCAAAGCAGGTACAAAAACCGACTTTGGCTCTCAAGCTGGCCCGCATGTTAGAAAGGCATTAGAGGTTGATTTGCTAAAGAAAAGTGAAAGAACTTTGGTGTGGAGTAGGCAGTATACGAATATTATACCAAAAGAAAGGATTAATATATTATTTGTGTTCTGTTCCTCGGGTATATCTATTAATATTTATATCTCTAAGGATCTATCCGTGTTTTCCCATCTTCATTTCAGCATCAGTGCTCATCGGACTTAAGTTCTTTCAGTCCCTTGATTTTGAATCTCTTTGATAAAGCCCCTACGAAAACTAGAACTTAGTTCATTCAATAAAATAAAATAACAACGAAAAAAAATACAAATTAAAGCGGGACAAGCAAAAATGAAACGAAATCTTTATTTGCGTCTTAACCCACTTGGGAAGGTAGTGAAATGTCAGCCAGAAATTGTGAAATTCAGAGATTCAGAGATCATAACAAAAACAAACCTAAAAGAACTTTCCCATGGTCGGGTTCTTGCTTTACATAATAATCACTTACATAATATGCTTTCTACCGAACCTGGGATGGGATGCTTTCTTCTCCTCTGTGGCCTGGAGCTGGTTTCCAATCCGGTTTTGGTCAGCAGCTGCTTCTTCTTCTACTAGTCGTCTAACACAACTCTAACGACGACCAAGAATGGAAGAGAATAACGTTGGGTCGAGAGTGGACACAGTCGCGAGTGGATCTACATATCTGCATATTAATCAGAGACGGAGAGTATGCCTCAGAGAATTTGCAAGAGTTCTTATTAAAAAGCGAGTTTTTGTTGCGTTCATTGGAAAAGTGAGAATCGCAAAGAACGGCGCACGCGTCTAGATGAGGAAGTGATTAAAACACAAGAAGGAAGTGCTCGCCTCAGATGTCTGTGATTTGTATATTTCTCGTGTCGCCACATACACTTCCAGTTTCTTTCTCATTCTGTTTTCATATTTTTGCACACACTAGAATAGCCTTAGGCCTATCAGCTTATGAATTTGCATTCATCGAATCAGAATCAGAATCGAATCTGGCCCCTCTATCTATCCGTTCTCCTCTCTCCCACTCCGTTAGCCATGCCATGCACAATGTCACGTAGATAAAGATATATGTACTTATGTACCTTACCTGAGCCCAAATACTTCTTATCTGGCATTCCTGATTCTTTTGCAAATAAAATTTTCGGTAGTCCGTAGTCAGCATGAGGTTTTCCTTTCCTATTTATTTGCCATTCGATCATGTACGAGTATCTGAGCTGTTGTGTGGCTCTGGCAAATACTGGAATTGATCATCTATCTCTGGTTTGTTTCTTTCAAATTTAATTTGAAGTACATTAATCATTTTGAGCAGGTAACCTTACCTCCTTGAGGCTTAAATTGATTTCTAGCTATTTTATATTGCCTTTATATCCGGTTGGCAATAGGCGAGCCACAAAACTTCAGCTGTGGAAAAACTGTAAGTAGATTGAGGTCTAATATCAAAACCGAACACCGATCTTTCATATGAAAGCCTTTGAGTTGGGGTTATACCAACTTTGAACTAGTGAGGCTTCATTTAGATTCAAAATATATTTCTATAGCAAATTCGTATTTATCTATTTCTAGGATTAGTGAAGCCTTCTACTTCTTAATAGCTTCATGTATCCTGAAGAAATGTTTAAAATCTGTCGATGTCTTCCGGCTCAAGCTGGGAAACATTTCGCTGGCACAGCCATTTTTTTGGAGAAGAGAATCCACCAGCCGATCTCAAACCATATATTTTGGATAGACTTTTGCACGCTTGCCAATTTGGCAACTCCATCATTACACGTACTATTTGGGCATTAACCTTGAACTTTATCACACCTGTTCGCTATCTTATCTGAGCAGGCCATAAAGCTTGTTTCTTTTGCTGTACGAGTAAGAAAAACAAAATCCAACTGCCAGACAAAAGAACAGAGAACCAAGAACCGAGAACAAAGTGTTATCGCGGCTCTCGTAGCTATTGGCAATTATAATGCAAAATCGATGATTTGGGTTGGCCGAAAAAAGGCTATATAAGGCCAGATACCAAGTAGATGACCGGTTCGCTTCGAATCGAATTGAATGAATAGTCAGAGTTCAATTAGAGGCCGACCAAACGCGACGAAAGTGTTGGTACAAAATTTGCATAAGAAACGGTTTGTCTGACGGCGCTTTTAAGAGTAGATAGATTTAATATTTAATTAGATTAAAAACCCCCCTCAATCTTGCTTTCCCCGCTATTGCAGTGCCTGATGGTAATGGCCGTGATACTGTTGCTGGCCCTGGCACTTGTACTAGGCTGCTATTGCGCAATCCACAAGCACAAGATCGGAGCGACCTATCTTAAGCCGCTGCTGAAGAACACGCCGCTGGAGGACTGCTACCATGCCACGCCCATAGTGCCAGATCAGCAGAAGCGTCGTCGTCGCCGGAGCATCTGGGATATACCAGGTCCCCAGCGTATACCCTTCCTCGGAACCAAGTGGATATTCTTTGTGTTCTTTCGCCGCTACAAGATGACTAAGCTGCACGAGGTCTACGCAGGTGAACGCTCCTCAGATTACGTTAGTTCATATGTTAATAAAACCCCCGCCCGACCTCCTCTCTAGATCTCAACAGGAGGTTCGGGGACATAGTGCTGGAGGTGATGCCCTCGAATGTGCCGATCGTACATCTCTACAACAGGGAGGACCTGGAAAAGGTGCTCAAGTACCCCAGCAAGTATCCTTTCCGGCCGCCCACGGAGATCATTGTAATGTACCGGCAGTCGCGTCCGGATCGGTATGCCAGCGTGGGCATCGTCAACGAGCAGGGGCCTATGTGGCAGCTGCTCCGGACGTCGCTCACATCCAGCATCACTTCGCCCCGGGTTCTGCAAAACTTCCTGCCTGCCCTGAACGCCGTCTGCGATGATTTCATCGACCTGCTGAGGGCCAGGCGGGATCCAGATACCCTCGTCGTACCAAACTTTGAGGAGCTGGCCAATCTGATGGGTCTGGAGGCAGTCTGCACTCTGATGCTGGGCCGGCGGATGGGTTTCCTGGCCGCCGATGCCAAGCAGCCGCAAAAGATAAGTCAGCTGGCGGCGGCCGTCAAGCAACTGTTCATTTCCCAGAGGGACTCCTACTACGGGCTGGGTCTGTGGAAGTACTTTCCTACGAAGACGTACCGGGACTTCGCCAGGGCCGAGGACTTGATCTATGAGTAGGTACACAGCGGCCTTAAGTTTCTTTCTATTTTCTATCTAAATGGAGTAAATTTCTCTCCGCAGTGTCATCTCCGAGATTATCGAAAATGAGCTGGAGGAGCACAAGAAGTCGGCTGCATGCGATGACGAAGGTGCCGCTGGACTGCGCAGTGTCTTTCTAAATATCCTGGAACTCAAGGATCTAGATATCAGAGACAAGAAGTCCGCTATTATTGACTTCATCGCTGCCGGCATTGAAACGGTCAGTGGTTGCTCATCCCAAGGTTCGGGGCTTCCTCAGTCTAATCGGGGTTTCCTTGAAATATTTTCTTAGCTAGCCAACACTTTGTTGTTTGTCCTAAGCTCGGTGACGGAAGAACCTTCGGCCATGACTCGGATCCTGAGCGAGTTCTGTGAGTATCGGGATACGAACATCCTGCAGGATGCCCTCACAAATGCCACCTTTACGAAGGCCTGCATACAGGAGTCATACAGACTAAGACCCACCGCCTTCTGTCTGGCCCGGATACTCGAGGAGGATATGGAGCTATCGGGTTACTCCCTTAACGCTGGGGTGAGTAGGGATATTCCGGAGATTTCAGAGAAAGCTCTCAGTCCCTTTGCGATATTTTGTATTTGATTGTGTTCTTCCCAACCGTAGACTGTAGTTCTCTGCCAAAACATGATTGCCTGCCAGAAGGACAGCAACTTCCAAGAGGCAAAAAAGTTCTCCCCCGAGCGCTGGATTGATCCAGTAACGGAAAACTTTACCGTGAATGTGGATAGCGCCAGCATTGTGGTCCCCTTTGGGGTTGGCCGAAGGACTTGTCCGGGAAAACGCTTTGTGGAAATGGAGGTGGTGCTGCTACTCGCAAAGGTAAGCAAGATGATCTCTTCGACTTCCCAAAGTTCAATAAGCCCAGCATTAAACTCTTCCAGCTGGTAGTGGCATTTGATGTGAGCTTTGTGAAGCCGCTGGAAACGGAGTTCGAGTTTCTTCTGGCCCCGAAAACGCCGCTAAGTCTAAAGCTCAGAGATCGTGTTATCTGATCGAGGATCAAACACATGCAAATTAAGCTAAGAACTGAACCATTAAGTAAAACTAATGAAAACTACGATATAGATCGGCCAGAATCAGCAGCCTAGTCTTGTGAAGTAATTAAAAATACGAGTAGATAAGATATTTACATTAATTTTGCTGACTGGAGGTACTGATGTATGTAGATACTATATAATTTGACCCTTTTCTGTACATAGGTCGTGTTGGATTTGTTGTTGTAACTTAGTTGTAGTCGCCTAGCTAGTTAACACTCCTTCTTGTAGTTATTGTTACTTAGTTAGCTTGTAAGTAGCGGCAATTGTTTTTGTGCGTTCTGTAACGGAAAGACTGTGTTGTAAGTTTTGTTTTGCCTGTCGTGTGTATAGCATTTGCGATTATCACTCCCCATTGTATTTATTCAAGTGTTTTAATGCCTTAGTTCGTAATTCATCTCTGTGTCTGTGTATAATTTTGTTCATCAAAGAATCCGCTCAAATTTAGTGAAATGAAATAAAACAAAAATACAAAACTGGCACTGTACATAATTTGTGGTTGTTGTAAACAACATGGAGCTTAAACAGCCACAGGCAAATTTGAACTTCGCGCCCACTTCTCGCATCCTCATTCATTTCATGACAGCGAACTTCTGTCAGAGATTGAATGACATTCTGACAGAAGTTGACCGGTATAAATGTTCGATAATAGCGCCCTCTGTTGCTATATACACGCATTTTACGATAACGCTAGCTGGCGCCAGTGTGAAAATTGTTTATCAGCTTGCCTGAAGCTGCTAACTTGTCGAGGGACCGTTGCTGGCGCTGCCAGCTCGTCTAGAGGTTGTTGCTGACGCTGCCAGATTCGAGCAACTCGCATGGCCGGGATCAGGGCTGCCACATTTATGTGGAGGACTATGGATTTATACCAGCGACAGCCTCTTTTTGCCGGAACTGTCAATGGAACGGACCAGTTGTTTATAAAGTATTGATACAAATGAATTTACATAGCAATAGTTCAGTGTGCCATTAAAAGTTAAATACATTTTTGCACTCTAACAAAATTTTAAACTTCTAAACTTAGAGATAGATTTTTGAAATATCTGGAAATTTCTTTATTAGATGAGTGTATTCATTTTATCCAAAGCGCTCTGATAGATTTTTCTGATAGATTTCGGGATTTAAAAATTTTTATAGTATTATGTTATTTTTTTATGGTTTAGTTTTTTTAAAAGAATTTTTGAAATTTTGGTAATGTTTTTTTTTAGAGGTGGTGCTTTTATTTTTCACATATGTATGTATGTAGCTTAAGTATCGTATATCTGGTTGCATAGAACTTTGCAGTTCTGAAAAGCTGACAAATTCAAATTTAATCATATATTTGCGATATTTTTGCCGGAAATTTTGACTTTAAAAACTCAGGAAAATTCGAAAAAAAATATTTCTTAGCATTGGGCGTCGTTTGAGGAATCGTTTAAAAGAATCTATGGATAAGCGGCCGGCAGTTGCAGCCGTTTGACCAAAACGACTCAAAACTCATTTTTACTGAACAAATACCTTCCGGTACGTTATTGGTCCAACTGCCAAAATGGGATTGCAGGAAGCAAAAAGGACCTGTAATTTTGGTTTTATTTCAACGGTAAGAAAATGGTCTGGCCTGGCCTCATTGCAAAAGTACAAGCAAAATGGAGCGAAGGAATATTTTCGAATTTTTTATGAGCTCGGCAATGTCCCAGCCCGTTGAGGTGGCAGTGGAGCGCATTCGTACGGTGCGGGCTTCCTCGGCGGCGGTGGAGCTGTCGCAATCATTTGTCACAGAATCGGAGGCGCACCCGAAACGCCAGGCGGCGTGAGGTCTTTGCGGATGCCCGACTTTTGGAGCCTCCTTACGCCTGGTTGACCTCTATTTTAATCAGAAGAGCTTGATTTTCAAACTTTTTCAGATTTGTGTTTATCTAGAAACTCCTTCGTAGCCGCAAGGAAACCACACCACCGGCACACGAGCGGCTTTGGCAAAACTTTGCAATCAGCCTCATGGGCATCTTCAAAGCTCTTTTCACCTTATTCCAACCACCGCAGAAATCGCAACCCCAGCGTTATCGAGGCATGTCTTCCAATTTGAAGGGGCTGCGAAACTCGGTGGAGGCCAGTAATGGCTTATCCTTGCAAGTTCATCATCCTGGATGAGGATTATACACTCCCCTTTAACCCACAAGTGGGAATTAGGGGGAACCATGGTCAGGTATACAAAGGATAACTTCTGCTTCACAGACAGGCCATTTTTGATGCGGTGCATCCTTACGTTCGTTTTTTAGCTCTTCAAGAGACACTATTGTCTGCAATGGCACAATGTTGCTCGACGCAGCTGGAGGTTCCACATTCGGAGAGGCTGTGCCCTCTGTCGTATCAGAAGCTGTGTATTGTTCATTGGGACCCATCCTAATTCTGATCGACTTCGCGTTGGGCGTTGGTCTCGAGCGGAGATTTTTCGAGTTTAAAGGCGTCGAGTTAGCCTGCGGACCCCGAGAATGGGATGGAAAATCAGCCCCAAGACTGGGTTCCATATAAACATCTACATAAGTAGAACCTGATTCAAACCAAAAGTGTTAAGGTCTCTAATCGCTAAAAGGGATTACATAACCACGGAAATTACAACCAATAGCAGTAGCTGGAGCTACCAATCAAAGCGGTCCCCATCCACAAGCATGACGGATTACTGCAATTCATATGAATAATAAAGAATAAAAATTACATTTTACTTGTATCTTGTCGCTTGATTCGGTTTCTTAAATATATATCATATGCATCGTATGTATTTATAAGTGAGCGGATAAAAAAGAAGTATAACGAGAAGGAACGTTGTAAGTCGTTTCTGTGGACGCGACTCTACTTTTATACCCGCAACACTGTTCGACGGAATCGAACTTTTTTTTCCTCAAGGATCCAAACTGACTTTTTCTGATAGATATGGGACTTTAAAATTAGTTTAAAGAATTATGGTTTTTTTTCTATGGCAGAACTTTTTTTTTAAGAATTTTTAATTCTGGTATTTTTTTCTAAAGCTTTTTTCAGAGGTAGCGCTTCGTTTTTCCGCATAATTCTAGTATCTAACGTCTGGTTGTAAAGAACTTTGCTATTTTGAAAAGATAATTAAAACAGCTAGAAGTTAAGCCCAAACACTTTGTGATTTCACAATAGCGGTCCTTATCCAGTGATTTAACAAAATTTCTCATTAGTCCCAGCTTGTGAGAATATAAAGGAAACATAGTATTGTTTTCAAAACATTTTGTCTTCACGGTGGTCGGCACGGTCAGACACATTACCTTGCCAATTAAATATTGGGGAGCCCATGATATAGCTGGGGAAGAGCGACCCCAGCCGAAGAAGTGCATTTTATTAACTTTAAACTGGAAGCTGGAAGAATATATGATATTTGTTTGCTAGCAAACAGTTTTTGTATCTGAGTACTAGGCTTTAAATACAAATACTCTATAAATGTATCGATAGCTATTCAAATTTACGAAAAATACTGAAAATAAAATGGAAATAAAAGAAAATACTGATGTTTGTTTTTGTTCAACGGGCCCCAGAGACTTGAGTTAATGTACATATTTGATGTACACTAACAATCAATTTTTGGAAAGAAAATGTTTACGTAATTTTTTTTCAACCAAGGAAAATCGTCAAAATTTTTGCAGTTCAAAAGGTTGCTGAGATAAGATAATGTTGGGCAACATACACTTCTTGCTCAAATGTTCTATATTGCTATCGATAGTATTGGTACTGAACCCAATTTAATATTTTAAAAATATCTACAAAAATCCACAAAAAATATTTCCGTTTCTTAACGGATTCATATTTTAAATTTGTCATTTAAAGCAAGGAAAACGAACAAATTTTTGCATTCTTCTTTGTCGTTTCGAGGACGTTGTTATTTATCTTTTCTTATAAAAAAAAAAAAACAGAAAGATGGTTCCCCTTGACGAGTGAATTTGAAAAGTTTTGGTTTCAAATAGCTTGATTAATTGCTAAATGGATTATAGAAAAAGCATGATAACTGATTTTGGCAACGAGTTTTCGAAAAGCGAGCCACTGTGCGGCGACGATGTTCGTGAGAGCCAACTTGGGGCCAGCTTGGGCGGGGGCTTGTATCGTTTCGGCTCTCTGGCGCTGGCGCAAACTGAGTTTTGACGTTGACGCTGGCGGTCGGTTCGAAAACTACAATTCCGATTGTACCAGAAATTATATTGGGCGCGTTTTGAAAATACTTTAATCTGTGTGTGTTTCTGTGTAATTAGAGTGAGAAATAACCCAAAGCTAACCAAACCAGAGTTCTGCACATCACATCTCGCAAACGCAACGATAATTTGAAAAATGTAATAACCCAATGTAGTAACGTAATCCCAAAAAACCACAAACAAAAAAACCAGTTTTTCATTTGCCCAGCAATAACTAATATTGGAAGAGTGGGAAAATCGTAAACCAACAACAACAAAATAGTTGTATAAACTGACGGTTCAACTTCTGTGTCAGTCTCTCCCTCCAAAGATTTCTGAGAGTCGCTGCTCCGAGTCTGTGCTGCATGCTGGATCGCTGCGCCCGAGCCCCACCCAGAGCTAATTGTACAGTAAACAACTATGGGTACAGCATCAGGAATACGATCTTCTCTGTTGTTATTGTTAGACATGCTAATTTTGCACAATATACACTTCAACCACGCACTAGCAATAGCAACACTGGCCTGGCTATCATGAATTAGATTTTCTGTTAATTGTGACTCACACACTGTTCCTCCCAGTTGTCTCAGTCCCTCCCTTCGAGTGATATGTTTATTTGTTGACGAATAGTTATGTTCAGTATACTATTCAAGTAAAAGATGAAGTAAAAATTTATTAATTTATTTTACAATTTTCCAAATAAAAAAGAAGCCAAGGATTAATTTTTGTTTTTTTTTTTTTATTCTAGAAAGTGAATCTGAGATATAAAGATATACTTTTCCATTTATTCAGGCTCTTTTCAATGTGGGGATGATAGGTTGACCTGACACATTATGAAGGAGAATTTTAAATTAATTTTCAGACATTTTTTAAAATTTAAATGCGTACCAAGTCAATGGCAACTTCCAGTTCTTTGAGTAAAATAGAAGGGTGTGTAAATTCACACTCAATTATAACTCGCCGACCCCCTCCCCTAGGCCACATATTGAACCCGAATACTTTCTCTGATGTATCAATAGAGCCATTGGACGCTGACCTTCACGAGCATACACGACCAACAGCACCTGGAAATCCCTACAAACCTTACCCAATAGCTTTGGCATTGAATTCGCCAACAACCGCCGTTCGGGCTGCTAGGCAACCCCTAACAACAACTACCCCAAAGCCAATGCCTAACAAAAGTTGCATGTTACAGTCTGAAACAATACCCTATACTAGGGGTGTGGTGAGGGTCCAAATGAGGTCAACAAAACTACGACAAGAAAATGGAAAACAAATGCAAAGAAAATCGCAGTTTCCCTTCGCTGGGGGGAGTGGAGTCGGAGTCTCTGCTACGGCGCTGGGAAGTACAGTAGGCGCCTTCTCCATGCATACACAGACATGTACATACATACATACATACATACATACATACAAACTACATACAATATATGCATTTCTGGCTGTCTCTCTCTCCCTCTCTGTCCCGTAACCAGTTTGCCAGTTGTGCATATCAATGCAAGTGAGGGGGAGGCCACGCATGAGGAGAAGGCGGCTGTGAAAAACACGTTTCGTAGTGTTGCATTTTTCAATCGCCCAAGTTGGATATGATAGTGTTCTCTTGGCCAGTCTCCACTGTGGGCAGGAAACTGGAAATGGGGCTTAATTAAAAAAATTAACTTAAAGTCTCTCAGCATTAATAGCATCTCTCCGCGTTGCATGCATGGGGCCAAAGAAACGACAGAACCAAAACAAAACGAAGAATGCAGAAGTCATTGACCCAAAGACAGACAGACCAGTTATAGGGCTGCCTGGCTCAGTGCAGAGCGAAGAACTTCGAGAAAGTCCCTGCAGAGCCTGAAAGCGAAACGAGGTTAACTCACACTGCCGGCCGAAATGTTGTGCTCTTTCTGAGGGCACGCAAGCGCAATACAGGTGTGGCTGCAGCTCTTCAAGACTTTACCGTCTCTTAGCCAACTCCTCTCTTCGCACTTCTCTCGCTCTCTCTCGGAACGAGTTTAGCTTGGCCGTTTTGTTTACATTTTTTCCTCCCTCCGCTGCTTCGTGGCTTGTTGCGTGTTTTGTTTGGCTTCATCTTTTCGGGCTTTCTTCGTGTATGTAAACGCCGTCAACGAAACTTGTTTTTATTTTTTTCCTCAGGGGCCAAGAACGTGGAACATTCGTTACCAAGGCAGAACACGCAAAACAGTTACCTGGAGGCATTCCACCGCTATAGAGTCAGTCGAGGACCAACAATTCGTTGGGAGTAATCATTCGAGCTGTTTGTTGGGACTTTGCTATAGAGGTACTCGTGTTATGGGCATATGACCATATCAAGTGCTTAGGCATACTATAACTACATATATAAAGATTAAGACTGTAGTTTGCCCAGTACCGAAACTCACCCCCTTCCCAGTTGCATTTTCTCGGCACTCACTGCAAAAATTAGACACTTTAGAATCAGTTATATTAAGTAAAGCATATTATCCAAAAGAATCTGCCAAAGTTCCTATAACTGACGCTAAAATGTTGACTATCCCGAAAACCTCCCCATCCGCAGAGAAAGTTATGAGTGACGTGACCCTTTAGAAGATTGAGTTTATCTGAGCCTCCAGGCGGGGAGTTTAATTGTTGTTTATGGGGTTACACATTGCGGGGTTAACTAGCACAACATACCCTGGCCTGGCCCCTCTTCAATCCATTCCCCTCCGTGTACGTGCCTCTAGCTCTTTTTGGACTTTTGTGTTTTGTTCTTTGTGTGATGCAATTAGCTTCAATCAATGGGGGTACGTACTGACGGCTGAACCATGGAGAGAGCCAATTGTTGGCTATGAACATGTTTCGACAAATCCCCTAGCGGAGTTGTACATACACATATATGTACATACATATATTAACACATATAGAATAGGAAAGGTGTTCAATGGAGGTGACAATCGAGTGCATTGTTGTGGTTCCATTGTTGGTCATTAATCAATTAGGTATGTAATGGAATTATAGATTGAGTGTCATAAGAGCACGACAGATGTGGCTAGTTATCTTTAAATATTTATAAGCTTTTGACGCGGAGCTCACGTATGTGGGTTGCTCGCGATCTTAGCTCGACTTTGGTATGCATCTGAGCACCCCAGAGGCGATCAAAATCAAACCCCACCCAAAATCCCACACACACCCAAACAGATGACATCATTGAGGAATCCATCAGTCTATATATATCTATCTATCTATCTATCTATCTGCCCTTAAACAATGTTGGCTACAACTCATTACGATGTGGATGAGTTTCATGTGGGAAACCTTCGACCACCAATTGACACAAATTCACAATCGACACTAGATTCCGTTTACTGTTTTGCACGCTCCACCGAGCACCACCCATTACTTAGAATCCAATAACAAGTAACCCAGAGACGGGCGCCAAATATGGCCATAAAGCCCCGACTCAAACTCAAACTGAACATTAAAGCATAAAACGAACTGAAGAAACCGTTTCCTCTATAGGTCGCCAACTTTAAAGACGAGATCAGAAAAATGAGTTACTTACGATCGATAGGTACTTATGTACACTCATACCTACACATATATAGTATATACATATACATATAACCGCAGTTCGAGTACTGCATCCAAGTTTTTCTCTAAGCTGAGCAAATGTGAAATTTCGAAACTTTTCATATATTTAATTGACTTGCTTAATTAATTAATTGATTTATTGCCTGTAGAAATATCACGCGTGGAAATGTCGCCGGCAGATGACAACTCCTTTGCCACCACGAGTGGCAACAAAAAGGCCACCTACACTCTCATATGCATCAAAGTTGTGGAGCTGGTAAGTGCAACATACTGCTTTCTGAAATAGTCTAAAGTCTATCATTGATTGCTTATTAATATTATACAAGTTGGTTAATCTGTCTTACAAATACCATCAATTGTTTAATTGAAAATATTAATTGAATTTGTTTTATGCACGTTTAGGATTGGTTAATTAAATAAAAATTCCTCTTTAAAAAATGTTAAATTACTCTATGTTAATACTAACTGCGACTCGCATATTCTCACAGTGCCTGTTAATATGCTGCCTTGGTCTGATCGACGAGCCGGCCACCAACTCCCACCTGCGAGTGTTCGTCACGCCCCGTGTGATGGCACTCTGCTATGTGACCTTTGGAGCCCTGACCATCTACACGGCGATCTATCTAATTATGGCTCTTGTCGGTGATCAGTGAGTGTATAAGGAGGATTGTCGCAAAGCACACATGTACTAAAACTGTCTCCATCCCTAGGACACCCTGGCGCACGGCTACGTTGTGGTCTCTGGTGGGATTCTGTCTGTATGTGGCCGTGACGGCTCTACTCTTCCGTGACTGGTCGACCACCAAGGATCGCAACTACTGGCACCCGAACATGCATCGTCTGGACCTGGTGATGGCCTCAGCCTCCATTGCTTTGGTCACTTCCCTGGTCTATCTACTGGACATACTGCTCACCATCCGCTTCGGCGTCCATGGCGATCTGGAATGACAGGGCGACTTGCGTCGACTGTTATATTTATAGCTCCATCATAGTCGTAAGCCCCATCTCTTTGACCTGCTACCCAGTAAATTGTAACCCCACGAAATCTGTAAAAAGAAAAGAAACATCAGAATTGCCATCATCGAAAAAAAAATGTACAAAAAGAAGTCCACGGAAGTTGAAAGATTGTTTAAGCATCGCCTGCACCCCGTTTTGTTTTCTTTTTAAGCCTCCACGAACGTTTTCTCTAATCCAGCTAACATTTAAGAAACGACACAAATAAATTGTTGCATGAGAGATTATTTGTTCCAAGAAACTTTAGTTACGATTTCTGAAAATCTATCCGGAGATTGCCGACAGGATGTTTGAGATCTGCGCATTGCTTTCTTCAAAAGGGAAAATATTAAATTTAAAAAAAATGTCGTTCCTCTTAATATTTTACTGATCAAATTAATTATTATATACATACAACTTGAAACATTAACGACACAAAAATACGGTTTTTCAACTATGGTTCTTAACAAGCTTGACTGGTGGCAATATTTCCGATGCGAATAATTCGTTTGGTTCCCAAAATGGAAAATCACTTGGACTGGGTGAAATATTTCTCAATGTCCTGATCGTTGCTGATCATCTGCAGGCCATGAAAGGTCTCCTTAATGTAGCATTTGCAAGCATCTCCATCACCTGGGGAAGCACAAGTATATGCTTAATTATAGGGTACATATGTGCAGAAATGTGTATCAAGGTTAAGGTCTCACCTAAACTGCCATCGCAGATGCGGCTAGTGATCAGTTTGGCCAGGGCCTTGAACAGCTCCTTGGTGGCTATTTTGCGCTTGTAGTAGGGATTGAGCCAGTGCACCACATTCTTGCTGACATCGTTCTTCTGCTGCTTCACTGGCGGCTTCTGGTCTTTTCTCTCCGGTTGTGTCGACTCCCCTTGGTCTCTTTTCTCGGAGATAATCTCTTTTGGCCCTCTTCGCTGGGATGTGGCTTCCTTGGACTCTTTTCCCCTAGCTGTTGGCTCTTTGTTTATTTCTTGGCTTTCTCTTGTGCACTTCTTTTCCACTTTTATTTCCGTTTCGGGTGCTATCTTGTCTTTTCCCTCTGATGTCGCCATCTCTGGCCTCCGTAGCTCTGAAGTCGACCCCCCACTCTTCGATATACTTTCCATTGCGTCTTTTGTTTGGGTTTGCTCCAGCATTTGTTTGGCCGTCATAAAGCCAAGGATATTCGTTTTGCTTTCCAGTTTCTCCAGCTTCTCTTCGAGAATTTGTCGAGCCGTCTTGAAGGCAGTCAGTGCTTGTTCCCTTTCCTCCTTCGAAGCAAACAGAGGCAGAGAGGTGGGAGCGGCTTTGTGTGGCTTCTTCTCTTTGGTCAGCTGATGGGAGACGCGTTTTCTGCGATGGGTATCAAAGGTGCCATCGCCATTGGACATCAGATTCAACTCTCTATCGCCAACGATGCTTTTTGGTTCGGCCCCAGACTCGGGACTCTCCTGTTCCATTTTTTCCTCTGAACTGTTGTCAGAACTCTTCTCCTTTTCTTCCTTCGGCCCTGGTTCTTGTTTCACAGTCACAGGCTCTTGCAGTGGATCCTCTGCACCGTCTGCACCTTCCTCGAGCGGTTCCTCTTTTACCTCCTTCTTGAAGTAGCTGGCAATGGAGGTCTGCGTTGTGTTCTCCTGTTTGAAGCCCTTTCTCTCCTTCAGAGCTTTGGGTGTCTCCTTGAGGCTCTGCGGCTTTTGCTCCTCCAGTTCTTTCAGTTTCCGCTCGAAGTAGGCCACACTGCCGCCAGTCCAGGCACCCTTTGCGCTGGTCTGAGGCTTGGGCACATAGTCAGCCAGCAGGGGCATTAGTTTGGTCTTCGCAGTCAGCTGCTTAATGACGGATATCTGTGGGTGAATAAGCGTAGGTATTAAGGATATCCAGGGGAATAGCAAGACCAACACCCCAACCTGCTTCACCAAAGCATGCCGATACATGTTCGCCACCTTCTGCTGCCGGAACACCTCGTACTCCATCTCCACGGCTATGGCCTCATAATCGTTGTACCGGAGGGCGCTCCGGGGCTGCTGTTCCTCGTCCTCCTGGCACTTCTCCACATTCGCCTTAAGGGCCTCGATGATGGCCGTGAGGTACTTCTCCCTTTGGGTGGCCTGGAGGCCAGCGATTTTCTTATCCGTGGCATCGGCCTGACGCACGCGAGAAATTTGTGCACACTTCTCCTGTTCCAGCTGCCGGGCGGCACTGATTTGTTTGCGCAGCTTAAACTGCTGCTGTATGAAGTCCGCTGTTTCCTTCTTGGCCCGCTTGGCCATCGACGAGTGGCTCTGGCCGGAATCGTCATCGGAGCCGGACTCACCGGCGGCATAGTCCTGGGCTGCACGCTTGACACCCGCACGGCCCCCTGGACAGGCACAAGGAGGAGGAGAGAGATTAGAATAAAAGGTGCTCAGTCAATTGAATGGTCGCCTCACCTTCATATAGATCCGCGCAGTCCTGCAGGGAAATGTGCGACTTGAAGGCGTCATCCATGCACAGGCGGTGGAACATCTCCAGGGCCTTCTCCGCGTTCTTGGGCCGCTTGCAGACATCGCACTGTCCGTTGCAGTGCGGCGCAGGATCCCCAAAGAAGTCCGCAAACAGTTTGTGCCTGCAGCTCGTATGCTCGCAAAATTCGGAGATCTTCTCAAACTGTTTCAGCGCCCTTTCCGTGAGCAGTTCCTTGTCGCCTCTTCCACGCGCTCGATGGACATCGTTCTGGAGCAGAAATCGAATGCTGCGCACATCCTCCCGGCCGTAGTAGAGCCGGCAGTAGGACTGTAGTCCATCGCGACCAGCTCGCCCGGACTCCTGGTAGTAGGCGGCCACATTCTGCGGTACATCCCAGTGGATCACGAAACGAACAGTGGCCTTGTCCACGCCCATGCCAAAGCTGTTGGTGGCGCAGATGATGGGCTGGTCGCCCCGCATCCAAGCCTCCTGCACGCCCGTACGCTCTGCGGTCTTCAGGCCAGCATGATAAGCCACGGCGCCAATGCCCTGCTTGGACACACCCACAGCCACACGCTCCACCTGATCTCGGGTGCGACAGTAGATGATGCCGCACCCACGCTGTGGCTTGGGCATGGCTTTGAACTCCTTGGCATCCCCCAGACAGTGCTGTGCAAAGTCGGCCAGGTGCTGAAAGTCGTCCTCGATGGAGTTTTTGTAGACGATGTCGTAGAAGAGATTCTTCCGGAAGCTGGGCGTACTGAATTGGGCCACGGGCTGGTGCAGACGCAGCTGCTTGTAGATGTCCTCGCGTACCTCTCTGGAGGCGGTGGCCGTGAGGGCCAGCCAGACGATGTCCGGGTACTTGGACCGCAGCTCCCCCAGCTTGAGGTAGTCGGGTCGGAAGTCGTGGCCCCACTGGCTGACACAGTGCGCCTCGTCCACGGCAAAGTAGGCCAGCTTCTTGTGCTTGTGGAGGGTTTGCAGCAGCTCCTGAAAGAACTTGGTAGCCGCCTGTTCGGGTGTGATGTAGAGGAACTTGAGGTTGGTCTTGACTGCGCGCAGATCCATGATGACCCTGTCCCTCTCCTTGAGTGTCATCTTGGAGTTGAGGGAATCGGCGGGCACTTTCAGCTTTGTCAGGTGATCGATCTGATCCTTGATGAGGGCCAATAAGGGCGAAAAAACAATCGTTAGCTGGTTCTCGCACATGAGCCCGGGCAGCTGGAAGCACAGCGACTTGCCCGAACCCGTGGGCATCGATACATACACATCCTGCTTCTCTATTTTGGGAGTGTGGGCGGATTAATGATGCACTCCAGTCCTCGGATAAATTCTCTGCTACTCACTTTTCACGGCGCATCTGATGGCCTTCTCCTGCAGCTCCGACTTGAACTTGGTGTGCCCAAAGTGCTTCCTGAGCGCCTCGTACATGGCGCTCTCTTGCGTCATCGCTGATATTTGGGTATTCCTGCGTTTTTATTCAAACAACATGTTTTTTTTTTTGCACAAAACAAAGTAGTTGCCGCCAAGACAGCTGGCTAGGGATGGCAAAAGCAATCAGATGGCTGCCGATAGTTATGCCAAATTATGGGTATTCCAGAAAATGCTCAGGATTGAACTTAGCTTAATTATATTAAAGCAGTTCGGCAATAAACATGGGAGAATCGGCTAATTGTTAGACCGCCGAACTCTAGTACTCAAACAAGATACAATTTTTTTGGTTTTTCGCAAAAAAAGGTTTAAGATTTCTAGCCACATGTAGCCGTGCAGCAGGTCCCTTAGGTCCCTAGCAACATTTGAAAGTCCTTGCAACAGTAAAGACGAGCATATTATAGCCAGAAAATTTTGAAATGGTATCACAACATTTTTCGCTCTCAATTTGAGGTGGTTTTTCAAAATTTTCTCTCTTTTCAGAGGTGAAGAGAGCGTTTTCGTGGTGACTTTTCGTGGTGTGAGAAACATGTATATTACGGGAACGCGTAGCAACAATGAATCTCGCGCCCCAAATGCTTACAGAAAATTTCGAACGATTTGATTGGCTGAAAGTTGAAAACGCGTAAGGTAAACCGTTACTTGTGTAACGGATTTTATATCGAAAAGTATTTTTTGGGTACAAAAAGAAGTCGGGTCTGGCGTGGATTTATATGGCCAAATGAAATTGGCGGACTCTCAAGATAAATATAAATGTACGATTCTCAAATTTAACAAGATCCCACTTCAATACCTAACTTTCTCTGATCACATAAATAAATTTTTCTAAAAACAGGAACGCTAGATTGGGCTCATTTTTTAACCAAACAATTGTTTATCAAATACATGTAAAACCTAAGCCAGCTTAAAATAATAGTAAAAATAGTCCGTGGAGGGAGGAAATTCTCCGAATCTCTCCAGATTGTAGCTGTTGAAAGCACGCATGAAAGAAAATAAATTCCCTTTTACCAAAATATACTGAAACTGTACCAAAATTTTAACCATTTTTCATTGGTTGGTGCTGTTTTTTGGGACATTATACTCTTTTGGGAATTTATATTCTAAATGTTGCTAGGACATTTTTATGTTGCTCGGCCACATGCTGGTAGAAATCAAGTGTTGTGAAGACAGTCCGGGAAAAATACGCGAGTCTGATACAAATTATTACCGTCGAAATTTAAAAATGATTATTTTTTAAAATTACGGGTTTTATTTGGAATGAAGATTCATTGTTGCGTCATTTCTACGCGTTTCCGTAAGATACATTTGATTTGTATGGGAAAAACTTCAGCAGCATGTGGAAATGAAGAGGCAGCATTGTTGTGCAACTTTGGCACGGGATGAGCAACAATCTGCATACCTTGGGAAAATGGATACTATGAACTTGTGATATTGTTTGTAATTTCAGGCTCCAATTAATGCAGAAACTACTCAGTCTCTGTTTTAAAGATATTAACGAAATTTTGCAGCTCACGGGCTCCAATAATAGGTATCAGAACCAGGATAAATGTATATATAAAACGCAAACATGTGCATTTATAGGTAACAAATATGGCAATATGGGAGCTTGGAACAAAATATTTAACATCAATTAAAAGAAATAAAGTATACAAAAGTACATACGCATAGAACATTCAACGTTGAATGTTTTGAAAAAAACAATCGATACTATCGTGACAGTATCGGGCTCAAATAATTATTAAAAAACCATTGAAATCTTTTAGAAACTTTTACATTGTAAAAATTAGATGCCACCTGTCGATTTGTTTACAAATTTGTCTTCGTATTTTATAGCAGACAATCCAAACATATCAAAAGCGCAACGACTGCAGCTCGATACTGTCATGATAGTCTCAAAACCGTCGATAGTAGAGGCTATCAGTAAAATATCGATACTATCGATAGTGCCCTCGATGGTTTGACACCTCTAACTTACCATCTTCAGGTGGCTCACAATTCAAACGCAGAAATGAGTCCGGAGAGCGTTTTGAGTGCTCTCTTTCGACTGGGTCATGACAAGGTATCAGTATTAAGACGGCCAAACTTTTTTTAAGGCCCTCGTAAGGACCTCACCATAGCCCCGATGGACTAAATATACCATGTGTGCGTGAGAGCACAAAATCCCCCACGGTGAGTTATGTGGTGAGGTGGGTTTTTTCCTTGAAAGCTCTGGATTTTGTGACGTCATACTTCACACCTCATACCCTTATCCTTGCGGCGGAAATGAGTCCGGAGAGCGTTTCAAAATTTGCTCTCTTTTCAGAGGTGAAGAGAGCGCTTCGTGGTGACTTTTCGTGGTGTGAGAAACATGTATCTTACGGGAACGCGTATGGAATGACGCAACAATGAATCTTCATTCCATACACTTGATATGGGAAAAAATTCAGCAACATTATCACAACAATTTTCGCCGCGAACCATGAAACAACAAGATATTGTCGAATTTTTTTCTGAATTCAGAAAAGTCCGCTGATGTACCACAAAAATATCCAACTATCCGGCCCGAAAATATCCAGTGATAATTTTTAAAATCATAAATAATAAAAACGCACGTCGTGATCTTGAAAAGCTAAAGAAAGTGAGATGATATTTCCTTCGATCGGGTTATGATAAGTTCTCTTGGTGTTGTCGGTGTCGGTATTTTGTGATAATCTGTTGCACTTTTGAGGTTGATTTGAGGCACACAAAAAACAAGATACAACAACAGTGAGAAGGTCGCCGGTAAACAGCAACAAAGTAAACGCGATGCATTAGTGTGAGTGTGAGTGTTTTGTGTGTGCGTGTGTGGGGGTGTCAGCGTTTGCCCGAAAATATTTACCGTTCAAACAACAGCAAAAGCCGGCAAAAGAGTCGCTCTCTCTCTCTCGTTGTATCGGTTGTACTCCCGCTGTGCAAATTGCTCCCCGCCGCCACGCACTATTGTGATAAGCTTTTTCCGGGTTAAAAACAAAAAAAGCAACAACATGTGTGCCCCCATACAAAAAACACCTCAGCAGCAACAATGTCCGCCCTGCAAAAGAAGACCAGCAACAAACGCCCTCCTCGTGATACTCAGCTTCGTCCTGGTCCTGCTCCTGCCCAACCACCCAGTGACGGCCCAGGAGGGCATCGCCCCCGTCTCACCACAGGTGGCCGCTCTTGCAGCCCCGAGTCCCGCTGCCGTGGGCGCCGCCCCCTCCATCCTCGATCAGTTCAGCCCCAATTGCAGTGCCGTGACGCACATCTTCCAGGGTAGGGGTATCGATGCCAATGAGATACCGCAAAAACCAAGTAACGGTAAGTGTTGTGGAGAAGGGACTTTCTTTATTTGCGCAGGGGAAAAAATTGGAAAACTATAAACTTGGGAAAATTCGGTTTTAATATTTAAGATCTGAGCCCATTGGTTCATTGGTATTTGAAATCATTAAATGAAACTAATAGAATGTCATTTCTAATAAAAATCTACATAGAGTCCTTAAAATTCATTCACTCCTACGAATTATCAAACATTTCATAACATTGCCAAACCTCGAAAGATAAGAAAAGAAGCCCCGAAGACAGAAAAGACAGAAAAGAGCAAAGAACAAAGGGAACTTTGAATTGGGCGATCCCATGATTCATGCCGCGTCTGCAGCAGCCGTACTCCGCCTCTCGCCTCCCGGCCGAGGAAATGAAATTCCACGCAAATCAACTCGAAAAAGATTCAACAGAGGGAGAGGAGAAGCATCCGAATACCTTTACAGCCCGTGGCGATGAGCGATGAGAGGGAAGAGCAGAGCAGAATTCCCCGACGGAGAGCGCTGTGTCCAGTCGGCGGGGCTGTTGGCGCATGCGTGACTGCCCATTCTTCTCCACTCCACCCCACACCTTCTCCTTCGCTCTTCACAGCAAAGGGTTCCAGTTTCCAAGACCAGTCCAAAGCAGAGCTGAAAAATCTCGAGAAATTCCTTTTCGATCGAAAAACAAGAATGAAGCGCGGGTTAGGAGACCGAAGCCTCCGATACCCTTGAATATGCTGATATATATACACTGATATTTTCTACAAATGTGTTTAAGTACATGGATATGACTATACGTACATTAATGTACATATGTATGATATTGATTTCCGATCACTAGTATTTCTATATTTAAAGTCACATATGTATGTTCCATCTCTTCTCTGCAAACTGAATGTCAGGGGAAGTAAAATCAAATAAGAATGGGTATAAAAAGCAGCAGGGAGCAGAAATATATGTACCACACTTGAAAGGAAAACGGCTCTTCTCTTTTGGTAGTGCGAGAGCAAGGAGGTTGTCACACCGCTTTTACAAGCTGTTCTTGTTACTCGAAGAAGAAACAGCCCATCAGGGAAGGCAGGAAGGAGTAGGCCTAGTAGGAGACCCAGGCCTAGTATTATTAGGGACCTACCTTCCATGGTTTCGATCCGCCTGTGGCTTTTACTTAATTTGTATAAATCCTGAATTAATCACGCTTAATTGCAATGACTCTCGCTCTTTCGTTCTCCCGCTCTCTTGTGCACTTCTCTGATCTCTTCTCTCGTCTCCTGCCCTGTCCCCCTTCCTCTTCCTTTTTCATTCGCCTTGTTTGATTTGCGGCCAGGTAAACTGTTGCAGCCTCTGCCACTCTCCCTCTCTCTCTCTCTATCTCTGTCTCTCTCTCTGCCCGTTTACCTGAGTGTTGCTTTTGTTTATTTTTGGTTTTCAGCATTTCTTGATTTGCTTTTATACCCTGTACTCGAAGACTACTCACTCAGAGGGGTATATTGTAGTAAATATGTACATACTCGTATATTCGTGGGATGTATGGGAACGGCCACAGGTACACAGTTACAAAGAAGAACATATGTATGTACAATGTGTAAGCATAATATGAATTTAAGTTCGAAATTCGAAATTCCTGTCTCCAATATTTGTGCATTATTGGTATGAATCTTATTCGAGGGTATCTGATAGCCCGAATGCTAGTCTCCATTTTTTCCTTCTTTTATCTTTTGGTCAAATGCATTGCGTTTTCGTTCATAATTTCATGGAAATGCATTGGGGAAGGGGCACTGCTCTCGGAGGGGAGCAGCAGCGCTACAGGTAGAGAAGTGGAAGAGTGGAGTTGGGAGATGGTCAGTGTTCTCTTGCGTTCTCTTTTGTGTTTGGTCTTTGATATTAATCAAGGTGTCATTGAAATCGTTTAAATTATGCAGTTTGGGGTTTTTATACATACATACATACATATGTGTGTGTATACTCACATACATGTGTATGTATGTACGGGCTCTGTGTCGGTATTTCTTATGTGAACCTCTTGCTATCTGTCGTCCTCTCATTCTCTCCCTCTCTCATTCACAATATCAATAACTTATCCAAACAGCCTCTGCTCTTTCTACTCTTTTCTCTTTCGCTTCTTTCTTCATGCGCGCTGTGAGTCATAAATCTCACAATCGACAGAGGGCGCTGGCTGTCTGCTCCACTAACTGATTCTCTTCTTCCCACCGTAACCCCGTTCTTCTGATAAGCGCCAGCGTTTAGATACAGTCCCTCCCGACGTGGACCCGTTCCCAGGCCTAACTGTGTAACTTTTCCCTTGCAGTTGCTCGTATTGCTCGTATGTAGGTTAGTTTTACTTGTGAAGCTGTGTACGTAATACTTCTCGTGGGGGCAGATAAGGCAATATTTCCATTTCCGATAAGTAAAAAAAAGGCCGAGCATTGAGCGCAGACCTTTTGGGGCCGCTATATTGTCTGAGGGAAGTTATTGGAAATTTCTAGCAAAAATTTCAAGTTTTTAGAGTCTAAAATTTAGCCTGTCAGCGAGAGTGCTTTGAACTGCTTAGTTCGGAGGAATGTGCAACATTTTCCACTTCTTTTTCCGTCTGGGGCATTCCCTGGCTCTCATGCAACCATGCAGCATGGAGCATGGGGCAACCAACTGCCTGACTGACACCTTCCATGCAGCGGCGGCAGACACAACAGCTGCCACTTAAACGCTTCATTAAAGTTGCACTTCCTGTGGCACATCAAAAAGCTCTCTCCTGACCAAGCTGCCTCATCCTTCCTCTCCCTCTCCCTCTACCTCATCATCATCAGTGGTAGGCAGGCACTTAGCTGAAATTGTTTGCACAATTTAAACAGTTCACAAAACATTAAATCGTTAAAAATAATATCAGCGGAGAAGAAGGAGACGGAGCTCTCTCTCTCTCTCTCTTTCTGTCCCTGTCCCTGTCTCTGGCTTTGCCAAAAGAAATTTGCAGTGAAGCTGAAGCCAAATTCAGTGACTGCGACTGCGATTGCGGCTGCTCCATTTTGTTGGCGTCTCCGCTGGAGCCCCGACTGCTTTTCTCAGAGGGCCCAGCGAAGTGGTTGCCTGTTGTTGTTGCTGGAGCGACAGTTGGCAGTGGCAGTGGCCAAGGCAGTCGCCGCATGACTATTAATCATTTTCCAGAGACCAAAACCCAGTGAGAGATACTCGTTCCTCTACACCTCTTTCGATGTGCCTTTTTCTGCATTGTCGCATTCCATGGCCGTGTAAGAGGGAGGCTGGCAAACGTCTACATACATTACATATCAGGATCGTCATGTGTAGGATATGTGTAGACACATTGCCGACCATTTGGTTAACCGAAATTTAAGCAATCTTGGATGATATTTCAAGATCCTACGATCTATTGCACTTAAGTATGAATCTCCATTACTTAATGTGCCATAATTACAAATTCCTAGCCCAAATAATTATCAAACATCTGAAGTATTTCGCCCACAAAGTCATCACTTGGCAGGCAGTCTTTTGCCCTCCTCCAGATCCAGACACTCTGGCTCTGGACCAGAGAACGAGAAGGCAGTGCGAAGTCCGAAGCCTGATCTGGCAATTAGCTGACAGAAATGGGTATATACAACGAGTGTGTATCCCTCAAAAGGAACGATGAGGCTGTGACAACAAAAGGCAAAACGTCAGCGAAATTTCAATCGCTGAATCATGCTCATGAAAGAGAACACATACAAAATGTACACACATACATATGTACATATGTATGTATGTAGTCATGGCATACTCTTAGATCGAGTATGGTTCGATGGTTAGATGGATGGAGTAAGTAAGGGATAAAATGAATGAAAACGAAACCAGAACGATCATCTCCCTTCCATCTCTGTCTCTCTGGGCAACAAAATAATTGCTGGCAAGTGTCGGCGGAGGATACCAAAAATAGAGGTAGCGCTCGAAGAAGATTCCCAGACCCAGACGAAGACCCAGAAACATTCCCAGAGTCATTCCTAGGAGCCTCAGCGGGTCAAGCGTGGCCACTTTATTGAGTGAAGATGCCTGTGTGGTCTCAACTCTGCCTCTTGCCCGACTCTCTCTCTCTCTCTATCTTTCTATCCCTCTGGTTCTCTCTCTGTCTCGAGCAACCAACTCCTTAAACAAGTTCTTGCGTGCATGCATTCCATTTTCCATTCCAGTGGAACAGAGAGTCCGAGCAATGAGTTTCATACATATATGGACAGCGCTGGTGGAATGCCTTTTCGGGAGTCGAGTCGGGAGTACAGCCTCAGAGTGGATGGGGGAGGAGCAGTTTTAGCATTTTGTTGTTAGCTAATTTAATGCGGTTTTAGGCTATGGCTATTGCTGCCCCTAACCTAACACCTTCCTGCCTGGAAAGGATATGCCACACATTCCAAAAGCGATCTCAGACTGTGCCTTTTCTCACGTTCCGTTTATGCTTTTCAGAGTAATCTGCAGAGTGCGTACATGCCGTAGATGGTAATTACATACATACATACATAAACCTCGGCACAGGCACAGGCACAGCAATTAGCCACGCCTCCGAAACGGCAGCTCCAAATAACAATTACATTTAACATGTTTATTAATAAGCAACATAGCAAAAAGTGTGGGGAAGGGCTTGGGCTTGGGCCTGGGCTTTGGCGGCTCCATTAGACCCCCGCGCCACTCCAAAAAAGAGGAGAAGATAATTAAGTAGTTAGCCAGCCAGCCAGTGGGCCGTAGATGAAGTTGTAGTGTAGAAGTGCCCCAAGACCTGACCTCCCTCCTGCTTCCTGGCCCACTTTTGGGGTCTCGTCTCGTCTCGAGCAAATGAAGCATTAAATCGTGCAAACAAAAAGGCGAAACTTACGAAACTCTGAGAGCCGCAACAAAACAAAGTTATAGTAAATGCCGACTCCAGATAATAATAGTCAGCAAAGTGCCCAAGAGGGTGGGGAGGGCAGTGGCAGGGGGTCGGCCAGCATTTACATAATGAGCATGTTGTGGGTTAAGACTCTTCTCTTACACTTATCTTCCCTCCTACGA